CCAGTTTAGCTGCTTCTGCAGCACACGCAGGGGTGCAACGCCCCAAGAGGTCTCCTCGGGAGGAAGTTCTAGAAACAGTGAGGGTCACTCTCCAGTCTAAAGCTCGCCCAGGCGCCTAAACGTTTAGAGTCGGCTGTCTGGCAGGCTCAACGCTGGTGGGACGAGGTCAGAGGAAGCCCCGAGCAGCATTGCTCTCTCGGAGAAGCTGCAGTTCCACGCAGACTCCACTTATTTCGCCGAACCCGGGTAATATCCACCCGGGGAAGCGGCAATCCAAGGAGAATTCCGTGGATGCCACTCACGGGTTTTCCCTGGGAGGTGGCCACGCTTGGCCCACCAGCCTCTTCCGCGGAGCTGGCAAGATGGCCGCTTCGAGTGGGGGCCTCGGCGGAGCCCTTCCCGAAGCTTTTCCTCTCCGGCCCCACGCCTAGCCGGGCTGCCTCTCTCCCTCCCTCCCCTCCGCCTGCCTTAATGGAAGCAAGAGTTACGAATGATTTTTTAATGTCTCGTTGGAGTTTTAGCCCGCTAATGTAGCGCATCTCTCTCATTATTACTTTATTGATTGCTCATTGACCAGCCCCCTTCAAATCGTATTAACCACCCTCTGCCACTTTAGATTAGGAGCGGGCGTCGGGTCGTTGTTTCTCGTTTTGTTTTCCGAAATAGCGCCTCCCGTGATTTCCCCGCCCGGCCGCCCCGGCGATGGAGATCCGGCTTGGCAGCCCTAATGCTGCCTCTAATGGGGCAGCTCGGAGCCGAGGGGCCACGGTCCCTGCCTCCTGCATTAATAGCTCAAAGGGGGCTAATACAGAAAATTAGCCTTAAACGCGCTCTGGAGATCTCCAAATGAAAGAGCCATTTATCACGCTGGCTACCTCCACTCCACTCGTTTGCTCTCTCTACTGGGAACAACTCATTTCCTCTTAACTAAATTACCTCAGAAATGTCAAGGAAGCCCAGATCGCAAACATAACGAGAGAGGGAGAGAGAGAGAGAAAGCGAGCGGGAGGAAGGGCGGGGAGGGGAGCGCCGCGCAGCGCCGCGCACAGCATATTGTCTTCCTGCGCCGGAGTCGAGCGCCTCAGCCGAGGAGGGGGTGAAAGGCAGGCAGCCCATCTGTTCTCTCCAGTTATGGAGATGCGTAGACGGAGGGAGCGAGCGCCCCGGAGAAGGCCTTCCCCGCGAGAGCTGGGCGGCCTGGAGCCGCTGGGAGCCGGCGCCTGCTTCCCGGGAAGCGCTGGCTCGACGGAGCGAGCGACGGCGGCGCAGAGGCGCTCCGAGGGGTGGCGGGTCACGGCCGCTGCGCGTCGGGTGATCGCGCCCGGGCGGGCCCGGCCGGCGCTGCAGCGGCTGAAGGAACAAGAGGGCCGCAACGCCACGCGTGGCCGGAGCCGAGGACGGGCCTCTGCGGGCCTAAGCCATGCCTCGCTTGATTACTTCCTCCACATGTGAGGCGCTGCCGCTGCACGTCTGAACCGCCCCTGTGGCAAGGAAACGGTGTTTGGGGAAAGAAGGAGCCTTTGGTTCGGGACGGCTCGTTCACGCATGCGTGGCGGCACTTGATGATGTCATCATCCGAGTGTCGACCGTGCACGTGTGAACGCGTTCTAACTCCTGTTCCAGGAGAACTTGCGCACTCCATGTAGGCAGGGTGGTGAGCGAGTGGAACGAAATTGGCTTAGGTTAGTATCAGATGGTTCGACAAGGAGGAAAGATACGTTCAAGCACAGAAAAGGCGGAGGGCGGCGGCAAATGTCACACACTAGAGCCAACGCGGCAATAAAAGAAGACAGATATCGCCATTACTTTCACGGGCCTCGGAGATCATAAGCAGGCTCCAAGGGATGAGCTATTTGTGTTAATAATTTATCTCTATCGCGCATCTTTGTCACAAGGATATTTTTTGCATTAGAAAAATGGGGACAGGTCTTTGAAACAGAAGAGCCCAACACAGCGGTTGCCCATCCGTTCTCAAGAAGGGGGTACCTAGACAGGTGAGACTACACAGGTTCTCTAAGGCTCCCTCCTACGGTTTCAGTCCGGAGACTTAAGCACTTGCCTAGTCTAACATCGCGACTCCTGGAGGGTTTTCCCTTCCTAGGATCTCCTCAAGTAATCCAAAGCGCTGCGTCCTCCTTTTGCTAGCAGAAACAGCGAAACGGGAGCTCTCAGATCTCGGAAAGAACCCATCGGAGGACAGGTTATTTCTCCAAGCTTTGAAAAGGTACATGAGGAGGAGCAGGACGACCCTTAAAGGCGCAATCGGTTCCATGTGCAGTCGAAAAAAGTCCTGCAGCTGCTGGCATGCTCAATCAACATGCTGGACTTTTCCATCGATGCGTTGGCTTGCGCTTCCCCACGACACGCAGGGCGTTCTACGAGGGGTGGGTAACGAGGAGATGGTCATAATAAACGCATTTACTTGGCAACGAAGCCTTCTGGATCTCAGTGGATCAGCTCCCCACTGAATTCCCCACTCCCAGCCAACCTGTTCCCAAACCCACTCCCACTGCGTGCAGTGAGAATCGCTTTCCGGTGAGGCGGCGATCGCACTCGTCTCAAGGGTTTGTTCCGAGGGACAGCCGGGCGACCACGCTGGTGGTCCAACGCAGGGCTCCCTGGATGGATGGGGTCCCGGGGCTCGCCTCTGCAGAAGCGGCCGAGCCGGCAAACGGCACGAGAGGACGTCGCCGTCCTTCCCGCCGCAGCCCTCCCTTGCCTCCGGGTTCGGGGCCGGAGGTTCCCGGGCCGCGGGCCCCCATTTACGCCCTGCCTTTCTAGGCGATGCCCAGCTGCTTCCGAGCAACACTGGACTCGGCCAGGAGTGCCGCTGAGCGCCGACCTCGGAGTAACTTCGCGAAGGAAGAGGGGGCGGCCTGGGGCGTTTTCTGATGGGGGGGGCGGTGGCGAGCCAGGACCTGCCGACTCCAGAGTAGCAGCCCACAAGGCGAGCCGCGTGAGCCCCGCGGATCAGACCCGTCTCCGCCCGCCTGCCCTTCGGAGTGGGGACAGGCGCGCCACTTCGGTTATAAACTCCACCGAAACCGTTAGGACGGGGGAAGCCTCCGCAGAGACAAATCCGGGTTTTCCGTCCGTCCTTTTTGTTGAAATCCAGGTTAAGGCTTCACGTCAAGGCCGTGATTTTATGCAAGCTCATGTGAAGAAGCAGGTTTCATTCGTTTGAATGGGGAGTGTATGCCCCTGTGTGCAGCTCCTTGGGAGCAAATCCGTTTAATTCGGATTTACTTCCGAGTATTTATGCCTTGCATCCTGCTGAAAGTAGCATAAATTACAATGCCAGAGGCGTTCGAGCTGGAACACTTGGGTGTCGAGATATATAGATGTTACAGACACATGTGCACACCTTCCCCACCCCGCACAATAAACTGAAGTGCTTAATCCCAAACCTGCTTCTTTAATTAACTTTCCTGCCTCTGGATGATAGAGGGGACTATCTAGAAACCACCGTCTTTCGATTTCAGGGGAACTTCCGAGTCAGTGTCTAGGACTTCATCCTCCTTCCTCTGCCCCACCTAGGGGAAAAAAGAGGCTCCTCGGGGAAGTCTTTGCAGTATTTCCCACGAGCAAGACAAGCCCCAGCAGTGAAGGCTGCCGTTTAGTAAGCAGAAGGACCAGCCCTACCAAGCATAATTCTGTGCCGTTCAAAATTGGATCTCGCAATAGCAGCTCCTCAGATAATTAAAAATAGCGCACTCTCTGTTCCTGTATTTGTTGAGTAGGGTCTGTTTAATGTCTATTGCCCTAGTGCAATAATCATCCCACGTCTTCAAGAGTCTGTCAGAGAAATTCGGGGGGCGGGGGGGGGGGGGAAGCAGCTGCAATACGCCCAAAATGAGTTATTGTAATTACATTTAATTAGTTTAATTAGTTAATTATTTTGCTTACAGCTGTACAAGAGATTGCAAACATTTGTTAATATAACATTCCCTCTAACAGTATGGGGCGATGATGCACTTTCACTAAATCATGTATGCATGTGTAGACAAGTGAAGCATGTGTGATCTTTAAATCCTCCCCCCCCCCGCGCACATTCTTCCTCATCCCGGGCGCGTGCACCCTTTCCATCTCCCTCGCGAGCACGCGCCTGCACGCGCCCCCTCCCTGCCTGCCCGCCCGCGCCGCGGGAAGAGCACCTTCCCGAGGAGGATCACGTGACGGCCGCGCCCGCGTGTGCTCGGAAGGGGCTCCTCGGAGGCTTCCTGGGCAATGCAGCGTGCGCGGGATGGCAGCCTTCGCAGCAAGCCAGACAGCGGGAAGGAAATGCCAGCGAAGGGACGAGATCCCCCCCCCCACCCCTCCGAGCATCATGGGGCTTTTCTTTTCATTGAAATCGTTTCTGTGTCAACGAGGATTGGCAAAGAAAAAGCAGGACAGCGACTGATTCACGGCTGGACTTGGTTTCTTTGAACGGAGCGCTTGGATTGCCAGATGAGGACACTTTTCCTCCTATCCCACTATCTTTCTTAGAAGCAAGTTCAGCTCATTGCACGTAAAATCCTCAATCCTAAACGTTTATTTGGAAATAAGTCCCCCAGATTTCAAAGACACAGCTCACCAACAGTCAGGGCGCACTGCCTGCGCTGGGTCTGACCCCCAGACTCAAGTCAGAGGGCGACAGCCCGAGGCAGAGAAAACCCGGGGCCGCTGAGAGATCCCGTTGCACGCCTGCTTCCCAGCAAGTATTCTCAGGCTTGGGTTCATGAAGCCGTGCGCTCAGGATCTCAGCTGCAGCTCCACGGGAAGCAATCGCCACAGACTGCAGGTAGCGAAGCCACAGAGCCCTCCTCTTTCCAACCGTGCTGACCCCTCCCTCTATTTTTCCTACCACGTGTACTTGTCCTCCACAAACTTGTCCATGTTTACTTGGCAGTGAGACCCTTTCGAGTAAGTGGGGCTTTCTTCCAAGTAAATCTTTTTTGTACCCGCCTCCCCACATACTCTGAAACATAATGCATACCATATCGAAATGTTTACCATACCTTTTTTGATGACGGACTGGTCCAGCAAGTTCATGCCGCTGTTATTGGCATCTTCTACTGACTAGGAATACAAAAAAGAAGGGGGGGAATCACTATTCAGATTTACTGTACAGAGAAGAACGCACGCACAGAGCGGGGATGGGATGCCTGATCTTTCCATGTGTATTAATTCACAGGGGAAAGGAAGGTGCTTCTTATTAAAGCGACACGGAAACGCTTTAGAGGATCTAGAATAGATAAAGGAGCAGATGCACCTGGGCGTTTTTCTTTTTTCGTCAAAGATGCCAAACAAGCCATGGGCAGTGCTCGGCTTTTCTTCCCCTCGAGCGCTCTTTGGTGTCTTAGCACGACAGAGACATCTGTAACTTGCCACAAATTAGCAATAGGATTAGCCGGAACCTCTGCACCTCTCTCTGCGTTTTTAGCTATAAGTCCTAGAGAAACTCTGCATATATACTCCGGGGTTCCCTTTTCTTTTCTTTGTGAAAAAGCAAACGGGGCCGTCTGCGATTTAACAATGTACGATTTACTGACTTCAGAAGTGTTTATATACCGCCCAGGCAGCACCGTCTTAGACGCCTACTTAGGAGTAGGTCCTGCTGAGTCCACTTGGTCTTACTTCCAAACAAATGCGTTCAAAAGTGCGGACTTGGGCAAAGGCTGCCCAGGAGATGCACTTGGATCCTGCACCACCCACAGACGCGCAGATCCATACTGAGCTGTCAGGTCCTCCACTCCCAACAGTACAGAGCGTGGAAATAAACTCCCATTCACTTCCATAGCTGGGACTGCTGAGCTTTCGGGCGTGGGGAGGAAGCGAGGCAGCGAGGGAGGGATGGGGCAATGATCCACTCCTATGTCGTTCAAAGCCAACCCCCTCTGCCTCCCTACAACATCCCGCGCTGTGTTCTAGGAGACACACATCATATCTTTTTAAGTATTTGTCTCATTACAGTTTCCAGTTCTTCAGCGATGCCCTCCTACAGTCCCACGGTTTGAGAGCACGCATCGTGCAATATTTGGGGTGCATTTCTGTATAATCCTGTATAGGATCGTCTGACTGCACAACCTGGCTGTTGCTGAAAGGGTCTGTGTGTGTGTCGGGGGGGGGGGCTGTTTAGGGAATGCTCCTGAGTAGCCCAATCTCAAGAACTTTGCTTGGAGAGCGGTCCAGCTCAGGACCAGCACTCAAAAACGACAAGGGATGACTAACTTGCGTGTGGCCCATGCCAGGTGAGACTACCGAGGGTAGGGGTGTCACCTAATTAATGTTCAGCATCCAAATAAATAAACAAACATTCTGAGGGGGGAAAGTGTTGAGAATCCTTTTCGATTTCTGCGGACATTTCTTTGCATGAGAACCCCCGTTCCTGCCCTCTGAAATGGTATGATCCAAAATACCGATTTATCACCCTTCGTTGCGTGGGATTTTCTCCTGGGTAAGTGTGCATGGGAATTAGTATCCTTAGGCTGAAAACCTACATTGATTGCCCAGGGGTAACTCTCATTGAGCTCAACGGAACTTCGGTCTGAGCAGACATGTATAGCGCTGCACGCTTATTTTCTGTCCGAGGGCTAAACGCAGCTCCTGCCCAAAAACCGAGTAAGACGAAACGATCAGAAATACCACACCCATCTTGAGAGAAGCGGTGAGTCTCTCCTTATGATAATTAATTTGCCAGCCCCTCACACAACTGAATTGATAGAGCTCTCTGCTTATCATCTGTAAAATACTAGGACAATTATTCTTTTTATTCCGGGAATGGATCTGCCTCCCACCCCCAAGCCCTGTTACCGGATTAACACTATTTAAACTAGCTGGGATCGTTCTACAATAAAGAAATAAATCGCCATCACCAATATAGGATCACGTATAAAACCTCCTCTCCCTCTTAAGGGCTGGATTCGGCCGCCTTCCTTCCTCTTACTGATGCTGATCCTCGGCTCAATTGCTAAATCTAGGCACTGAGCTTGAGACTTAAGTCGGTTTAAATAGCTCTCCTGGTGAAGCCCTAATTTCACACAGGAGCCAAACAAAAGGAGGGAACTCCGATCCTGACGGAGAATAAAAAGGGCTCGCTGAAGCGCAGTCGCTCCGCTTTGGATGGCACCCAGCGCCCGAGCCCGAGCACCCAGCGGCCCCTGCCAGCCTGGGTGCTCTGGCTCGGGGGTGGCCCTCCCGGCGTCACCGAGCAGAAACCCCGGACGCGAGGGCCGCAGGCAGCGCGGGGCGAGCAGCGAGGCCCCGGCCCGTCCGCTGGAAGCCTCGGCGCTGCCCGAGAGGCCGCAGCCCTTCGGCACGTTTCGCCGGCGGAGAAGACGGGCCCGCCGGCCCGCGCCTTGGCGGCGGGAGAGGGCGCGCTCTGCCTCGGCTGCGCCGGCGCCGGCCTCCCGGCGAGACCTCCCGGAGGCGCCTGCGAGGGCGTCGGGGAGCCCCGGGCCCGGCCCAGTTGCCCGCAGCGCTCCCGCCGGAGCACCCCGAGGCGCGCCTCCCCTTCGCCTGCCCTGCCCCGGTTCTCTCCGAGCTCCTACTCCGCGCTTTTCGAGGCTGGCTTTCAGGAGCGCAAATACGAGCCACTTCGGCCCGAGCCGTGGCGCGGGCGGGTCATCGCTCCACCTGAACGCCTGCAGAAAGTCAGGATGCCTCTTTAGTGGCGTCTACCCTCTCCCGTCACCCGGTGTGTGGCACCGCTCCTACAGACAAGTTTCTCACACCCTCCGCACCGCTCCCCCCATCAGCAACGTGGCTGAGCTGTTGTAGTTAATGAGAAGAGTCTTGTCTGATTTTCGATCTAATTACGGCCGCCTGCTGGGTTTTTGTACAGGATATTCGCGCAGCATGCTGGCAGTTAATAGTCACAGAGAGGATCGTAAAGATTTAATTAGGACTGCATGCAGAAACGTGGAGAGAAACACACTCACTCGCCCTCTCTCTCTCTCTTGCGCACACACAACTCAGACTTTTAATTACTAGACTTCTTTAGTTAAAAGTGATAGCAGGGGTTACTGCCTAAGATACTCGGGTGCTTTGGTGCAACGTAGCTTGGTATCTTCAACGCCTGGCAGTAGAAGCTGTGATTTGGGGGGGGGGGAGGAGGGTGGGGGGGGTGGGGGAGGGGGGGGGGGGCTCGGGGGGGGGAAATCGGTCCTGGCCTTTCTCAGGAAGAAGCCACACAGATTTGGAGGGTTTTTTTTTTTTTCCTTTTAAAGCCTAACCCTTTCTAATCGTCACCTGACTTACCGGGAGGAAAAAACTGAGGGCGGAGGGGAGGAGCACAGGAACAACCGTGAGCACACCCTCAGCTTTGAAAGGATTTGCTTGGAAGGAGTTCCCGTGGATTTCTGGGAGACTCACCTCGCTGCAATCTCCCCTAATGGACGACCGGGTCAGCCCCATTGATTTCAGTGGAAACGTGTTTCCAAGAAAATCTGCTGAATTGAGGAGGCAAAGCTGTGCTCACTGGAGTGGGATGAAGCCCCACTGAACTCAGCCCTACAGGCACGGTGAGCCTGCACTCCTAGGCACGCACACTTGGAAGGAGGTCCTAGTTGATTCAGCAAGACTTACTTCAGCATTAATATGGTCAGGATTTCATGGCAAATGTAGTTCCCCTAAACGCCACGGGCTTACTTCCGAGCACACTTGTTTAAGAATGCATTGCTTCAAATAGGCCTCCTATCAAAGTGTAATTCTCTTTAGGATCGTTGCTTCGAAGCGTGGCTGGATGTACCCCTGAAGCAAATCTGTTTCGGGAACCAGTTAATCCGAAGCCATCCATTGCAGCCTTTGCAATGCCACCAACTTCGAATGAAGGCCCCAACTCTAAGCCCTGTTACTTCGAAGTAAGTCTCCTCAGTGTCCCTTTTATTAACTTTCAGGTGGTAGATGAATGTTAGCAGCATGTGTCCAAGGCTAATGGACTGTGGCTAAGCTCCCTTTTCTTGTGACAGTGCGAAAGAATGTGCTTCACGAGAGAACCATGTGATACTTGGAGAAGATGCCGCAGTACAGAATGTATCACTAAAATGTTAAACTCTCAGTTACATCATGCTTGCTATTACAAGTATGCAGAGGATGATTTTTTAATTAATAAATAGGACACAACTGCAGCAAATCTTGTGGCATAAACCCTGGTATAGATTGCAAGTATCTCTTCATCCATTTCTGATTTAAGAACACTAAGAAGGACACGTTTCCTCTCTTCCACGCGATACCTTAGGCACATGCATTGTTTCAAAGATTACCTGTGCATCTAATAACAACAAATGATGGCTAATCATAATTTACACACCTCTCATGAAAAGATTTTTTTGCAACTATGCTATTTATCAAGGAGACTAAGAACCCACATTTTAAAATCATACTTTTCTTGATTTAGCCAAGATTTATTTCATCAGATGTGCCAGTTTTAAGTTTACACGACAGGAGCTAAAGAGCATACATTGCAGCAACCGATTCTTCCACTCCAGAACGGTCATGTACAGTAAGATTACTTGAGAGTAAATGGAACAAATGCAGAGACTTGCCCTCCTTTCTTACAATAATTACACCTGGAATCCAACTATGCCGCAAATTCCATTAACAGCTCCTCGACTTTGCCTTGAATATGTGGGAAAATGCCTTCTTCTGAGGAAGACCGTCAAAGAACAGCTAGATCCACAAGCCAACAGCTTCACTGGTGGCAGCACTGACACCGGGGACACCTTGATCCTAGGCACTTTTCCTAGGAAATCAAGTCCTACCCATTTCAGCAGAACTAAATTTTCTAGAAAGCATGCCCGGGATGAACTTTTCCTCCGAGCTTACATTGTACTGCCTTACACCCACCTGCTAGCCCTCGACAAGCCTTAAAGGAAGGAGTTGCCGTTATGTCAGGGGTAGCCGCTGTCCTGCTGCATTTTTTTTCCTCCCCTAAAACTGTAGGGCTCGCTTCAGAGTGAGCAGGCATAGGATCGGGCGCCACATGGCCCAGAGCCTAGTTCAGCATGCCCAAAGAGAACAGCACTTTTTCCATAACAGAACCTCTCAAGTTACAACCACTTCGTTCTGTCCATGAAGAATGGATTGCACGTGGCTTCGATTTGTATTTGTATAATTATATATTTCTCCCTAATTTCTTTTGGTCTCTCTCACACACTCCTGTTCAGTCAAATGAGGCAGAAGGGGGCAAGGAACATTTTCTTTTTGAACTTTTCACCCCTTCATCAAGAAACGAAACGAACTCCAGGCTTTTCTGTAAATCAGGTGACCCAGCCTAGAATAAAGTCCAACTATTCACACACAAAAATATTTATTAAAATTATTATTTTTTCATTTTTCAACGAGAAGCCCTCTGAAGGAAAAATGAAAACGACTACACCAGTTTATCCACTAAACACTCCAGGAAACAGCTCAGTCTGTTTGTACTGTTTTTTTTTCCCTGCCTTCCAGACCCATATTCACAAACTAAAAATCATTCTTTAGAAAAACATCTTTTAGGCACCTTCAGTGGGATAATAATTTCTGGCTTATGCGGGGGTCGTTTTGTACTGAAATGTCCTTTAAAAATAAAATCCCCCCCTTTCTTGGAAATGCATACGTCTAACAGATTTTGCTTCCACTGAAATGGATGGGACAGTCAGCAACCGAAAACCCAGCAGGGGTGAGGATGAACTTCCATCCTCCAGGCTAGAGGTTTTTTCGTTTGTTTCCAGTTGTGGATTTGCTAACTCAGACAGTTGCCTTGCAGTGGAGCCAGAGGGACCATTTTCAAATAGGTGTTTGCTGTTCCATTTCTGAATGTGGCTCTCCCCGCGCCATTCCTCCCAAATCCTCTTGCACGCTGCCTGCCGCTCACTGGGGCAACAGAACTCGCAAGTTCTGCCCGGGCAGTGACCACACTCGGAATGTCATTTCATGAAAAGCAGCAGATCGGGCAGGGCCTGCACAGGTCTCTCGCCTGCGTCACGCACAGAAACCATTTCAGTCCTCGGAATCTGACGCCCCGTTTTGTGGAGTTCATAGAGGCTAGTAAACACATCCCGCCCCAAGAGCAAGATCTGCTTTAACCCTTGCCGCTCCAACGGGCTCCCGGGTGTCCAGTGAAACACACAATCCATCCGGCAGGCCTACTCTCCCCATGCGAGCCACGCCGGCCCCTTCTGCGCGCTTTCTTTGTCATTTTGGAGGAGCCCTGCTCTTGGGCGAGGGGGAGGATGCCGACCATCAGAGAAACAAACCCCCTCGGTTGCTTTCATAGAGCCAAAGCCTTCCCTGCGCCAGTTTACTTCGGCGAAATTCAGGTCGCAGGGCATGCGCGACGGGAGCAGCCCTGCGTCCAGCAGGATCCCCCTTCAACGCAGAAAGACCCCGGAAAGAAAACCGCGCTGCAGAGCAGGGGCCGAACGCAAGCGCCCGCCGCCCGCCGCCCGCCGAGGATCGCTTTGCTCCGGCCGCAGCGCCGCGAGGCCGCGCTTCCTCCCGCACCTCTTTGCAGCACAAGCGCTGCGAGGCTATTGTCTTAAACAAAACAACACACGTGATCGGTCGGCTGCCGATCCGGAAGGTGGGGGGCGGAGTGCGGGAGAAATTAACAGTGTCACTCATATATTTATATATGATATGAAGTAATTGAGTAGACAACTGCTTCCCGGCTAGACTGAACGTGCGCTGCTGCGTTCCGCCACCGGCTCGCTCGGGGCCTGCTGCATTGTCCTCCGCAGACCTCACCGCTGGGGGAGAGCAAAACTTTGGCTCTCGGAAGTCCCTTCCAAGCACTCTCGACTCCGGACCCTGCAGGGCACGTGCCACGGTGGGAGTCCCGCCACAGGCTCGGTGCCTGCTCCAGAGCAACGGCTTCCCCCAGCCGCCTCTGCTAGGCCCACTGGTTTCAGTGGGGCGCCCATGAGAGTGAGCGACGCCGCGAGGCGGCAGCCCCCTCGCTCGCACTGACCCAGCAGCCCGCTCGATGCGCGGCCCTTGCAAGCGAGCGGGCCTCGAAGGAGACTTTGAGCTGCGCGCAGCACAGCACTGGGAAGGCGCGGAGGGGGCCCTGTCCGGTGCACCTCCGAGGCGAGGCTGGCCGAGCGCGCCAAGCCACCCGAGATCGGGGTCGGGGCGCGGCGCGGGAGGAGAGGCGAAGCCCGCGGGCGCCGGCTCGGCTGGCCGGGCGAGGGGCGCGGGGGACGGCGCCCGGCTCGGGGGCAGCGCCGCAGCCTCCCGCCCCCGGCGCCGGGGAGCGCGCGAGCACGTACGCGGCGCGGCCTGCGGAAGGCTTACCTGCACGTCCTCCATTCCCGGGTGCCCGATGCCGTGGAGGGAGAGGGTGTCGCCCATGCCGGAGTCCAGGCCATGATGCGCCGAGTGCAGCAGGACGTCTGGCCGCCGGACCGAGTGGTAGTCCCGCCGGGGGTCCAGGCCCGAGAGCTGGGGCAGGGAAGCGCGCGGCTGGGGCAGCAGCGAGCCGGCCTCGGAGCCCACCTCTTGCCGCTGCCTTTGTCCCCAGGGGTGCTGCTGGGGCTGGTGCAGGGGGTTCAGGGAGTAGGGGTCGTTGACGTGGGAGTAGGGGTCCTGGCTCTGGTGGTAGGGAAGAGGCTGGTAGGGGGGCGGGAAGTAGGGCGGCTGGAAATCCGAGGACGGGGTGTGAGACAGCGGCGGGGCGCTGGAGTAGGGTCCCTGGGAGACCGAGCCCAGCTGAGACAGCCGGGAGCTATGGCTGGGCACGCCGTCATGCCGGTCCTGGAGCGAACACACAGACACGCACATGCAGGGACACACACGGGGGGGAGAGAGGGAGAGAGGAGGGGGTTAGACAACGGACAGACAAAAGCCAATTTCACAGGAGAAAGAGCCAGGCGAGCGAGAAGGGACGGGAAAGGAAGGAGAAAGGAAGGAGAGAGCGCAGTGGGTTTATTGCTCTGCTGGTACGAATAATCTCGAACCCCCCAGCTCCTTTTCAGCAGAAAGACTGCTTGCCATTCTCGAACCCGTGCTTCGTTTCTCCTCTTGGTCGTGTACATTAAACTAGGCTTAGAAAATGGAGGAGAAGGAGGCGCTCCGGCTTCCTTCATGACACTGGACCCTCACTTGAGCTCGGTAGCCAAGCGCGGGCTCCTGTCTTGACGCCTCGCTTCCAGGAGTGGAATCAAAAATATGCTTCCATTAAGGAGTGGCTTTCTTCATGCATTTGGGAGCCTTTGCCGGAATAACCTCACCAAGAGTAGGAAAAAAAAAATAAGCTTACTGAACCATGTATTGCTTCAGGAAAAACTTCTTGATTAAAACTAATAAACCAACCACTCTTCTCAGTGGCAGAACACCAGAACTGGAAAGTTGTGACTCTAAGGTCTTAGGAGAAGTCGTAGAGAAAAGAAACAAAATCTCCCTAATGAAAATCCAAATCAAGATTGGCATGGAAAAGTTTGTCTGGACTAAAACTAGAGAAACTGCTTTGCTCCAAATGTATCAGTATTTTCCAAATATTATTTGTTACTGATAGAGGAAAAATATGAAATGATAAACCAAGTATTCAGGAAGGTATATTAAATGGAAGGGAATTTTTAAAAGCAAAAAATCTTGACATTTTGAAAAATTGAGAAATAATTAAAATGTTAGTAAGCGTTTCTTGAAATAATGGACTCAATATCCAAATTGAAACTGTGATTTTACAAGCAAAACCAAAACAAAACAAAAACAGACAAAAAACCTATTCCAGAAAATGTAGTTCAATCCCCAGCAGCAATGTCTCAAAAAAGTTTCCCCTTCTCTTCCCCCTCCTCCCCCCCCCCCAGTTCAAACTGAGAACACACAATGCAAAATGGAGAAGCAGCTGCAAGCTTCCTCCAATTATTGTGCTAAATTACCAAGCCAAAGGCATTCAAAGAGAGAGCGAGAGGGAGAAAGAAAGCAAGCAAGAAAGGAGGGAGTTGAGATACTCAGTGACTGAGAGACACAGAGAGAGAGAACATGGCAATTTTAAATAGTAATATGGACCCAACTCACCATGGCGGAATAGGTGTGGACTAACATCTGGAAATAAAAAAGTCTTGAAACACTAAAAATAAAATAGCAATATAATAAATAATAATACTAATGAGAGGAGGTGTATCAAGGAGCTCTGCAAAGGAACGTGGTGCACCCTGGAGAACAGCTGGAGGTATTTCCGAGTCTATCCATCAAAACAAAAATGTGAAAAAAAGAAGCCAGTGCCCCCAAAACGGGATGGGAGAGCTATAGATGTGTATATATGTTTAAAAGCCTCCACTCTGTGGTGCCCCTCCCTGCCCTTTGAGCTTCCAAACGCAATCCTCTTCAACCCAAGGCGAGGTTCAGACTGCTCCGGTGCCCCTTTCTCCTTTTCCTTCCCTACGCCGCCTCATAATAATTGATATTCATGACTATTAATATTACACGACTACTTTAAAGGGAGAATGCAGGACCAAATGGAGCGTGAAGGCTTTGCAGGCAGCTCGAGAGCTCCCCTAGTATTGTAAATGACGTTCATTCAGTGGAGAATTACTAGATGTAATCAGACGAGGGGGCTGGCAGAGGCAGAGCTGGGGGAGAGGGAGAGGGAAGGGACCAAAAAAAAAAAAAAAGTTGAGCAAGGAAGAGGCATAACTTCAATTAATTCGAGCAGAGGAAGACGTGTAAACGAGGCACTGCTGATTTGGAGCAAGGAAGTGATCTGGAGCAGCGCTAGAGGCTAAAGACGGAAGGGGGAGAAATCATATTTCCTTCCCCCCTTTTTAACATTTAATTATACATTCCAAATACGAAAGAAAATCGATTGCCCTTGGTGCTTTTGTTCTAATTTTTAAAGCAAATAATAAAAGGGCTTCTCTAATCCTGACATTTATTTTTTATAGAAGCAGCCAATGCGATTTGTTTGTTTACAGAAGTAATTAAGTACTTAAAGAAACAAACAACCCCCCTACCAGTATCACAGACTCTCCTCGTTTTGCAAAGCACTTTATAAAGGGTGTCGAGCAGTTCGCCCCTATTTAGCCTGCCCTGTCCTGTGCGTGTGCGTCCGTGTGCGCGCACGCGTGTGTGCGTGTGCGCGCGCGTGAGAGAGAGAGAGAGAGAGAGAGAGAGTGTGTGTGTGTGTGTGTGAGAGAGAGAGAGAGAGAGAGAGAGAGAGAGAGAGAGAGAGAGAGAGAGAGAGAGAATCTTCCTCTGGCTGAGCCAAAAAAGCGCTCAATTTTCACCTAGATGCAAAACGTATTCAATGAATTTGAAAGGACACCCAATTTATCGTTCCTGGGCGAAGCCCGGGGCGATTGAGAGCCCTTTTGATGTTTGGAGAACCCGCTCGACCGGCCCGGCCGCTCTGCCAGTTAAAGTTCAACTCGGCAGCTCGGCGCAGCGTCCCGCCCGGAGCAGCCTCGCTCGGCGGGGCACGGCCGCGCTGCTCCCCGCTCCGCTCCGCGCCCCCCGCCCGCCCGCCGCCCGCACGGCTGTTTTAGGGGAAACGTCGCGTTCCCGGAATCTTTACGACTCTCCGACACGACCCCGGTCTGATAGGAGCGCGCACGTGTGCGCAGGCACGGGGATATTTTCCTCCGATCGAGTGTGCTTCTCTATAAACATGGGATCTCTCCGACTGCCTTGGGAGCGGAGGCAGCCTCGGCTATCATTTCTAACTTTTGCAAAGAGCACCGGAGTTTCCCGGGGCTTTCGACTTTCCTTCTAGGATTGGCAAGGGCCTCTTCCCAGGTCCTCCCGAGGAAGACGAAACCCCAGTAGACGCTGGCGCAGCCGTGGCCAGCGAAGACGAGAGCAGATAGAGACGTTTAAATCGCCGTTAATTTGCTCTTAAGGGGGTCGGGGGAGGACGATTCTTCTCGCCCCCCTCCGCCGCCCTTCCCGCATGAGCGCGGGCGGGGGCCGGCGCGAAGGCTGCGCTCAGAGGGATCGCGGAAGCGCGCCCGGGAAAGGCAGTGCCGGGAGGCCGGAAGGGACCCGTGCTCTGCCGGCTCGGGGGCAGAACTGAGCCAAGGCGCTCCCGGCCGCTGCTGCGCGGAGGATCGTGGCTCTGGCGCGGGGCCGGAGGACTGCCGAGGCGTCCCCTGCGGCGGCCCGGGCCTGGGGGAGCGGGCACCGGCCGGCGCGGGGCTGCTGGCGCTGCCTCGCGGGCCCCTCTCCGCTCCCCGCGCCCGAGGGCCGGGCCGGGCCGGGCGCGAGAGCGGCTCCCTTTCGGCCGGGAAGGCGCCATCGCTGCCTTCCCCGCCGCTCTCGCGGCCCTTCCGCACCCCGCAGCGCGGCTCTCGGGAGCCGGGCGGGAACGAGCAGCTGGGCGGCCGGGGAAGCGCGGCTCCTGCGCCGACCTCGCCCCGCGCCCGCTCCAGAGCCTGGCGGCGGCGGCGGCGGCGGCGGCGTCCGGTCGGCCCGTGCCCTTCACCGCTGCCCCGCGCTGCCGCGGAAGGAGCGGCTTTCCCTCCCGATGGCGGCGCGGTGGGCGAAGAGGACTCTCCCGCAGCCGCCCGGGCGAAGCAAGGGAGAGCGCGAGGCGCCGCAGCGAGTCTTCCGGCCCTCCTTGGCGACCCGCGGCGGACGAGGTCTCTTGGCTTCCTCTCCAAGGCAGTGCAATCCGCCTCCCATGGAAATCAATGATAAACACTGCTCATCGATTTTAGGAGAGCCGGATGACCGCCGAGCCGCTTCTTCGAAGTGGTCGACCGGAGAGCGAGCGAGCGAGCGAGCCAGCCAGCCAGCCAGCCAGCCAGCCTTCTGCGCCTCTTGCTCACCAGGTGCCTCAGCAGCCAGGAGGAACGGCGCACCCTCGCTCGCCCGCTCGCCCGCTCGCCCGCTCTCTGTGCGTGGAGCTGTGCAAAGCTCTTGCCTGAAATCCCCACGCACGTCCTCTGCCTCGCGAGGCAGGCGCCAGTTGATGTGGGCTCGAACAGAGGGGCTGCAAACGGGGAGAGGAACTTCACAGAGGAACGTGAAAACCTATCCTATTCCATAGATGCCTCCTGTGAAAAACGAAAGGGGACCCCCGCGTTAAGAATCTAATCGGATCGCGGTCGCTTCCAGATCTAAACAAACTGCCGCGTTTAAGTCGCCTCCTGCCATCCCGCAGATCAGTCCATTCTTCGCCGTTTAAATCTCGTCTGCTTCCTTCCGCCCCTCGTCTCTTTCGTAAAAAGTTTCCGTCTTGACTAACGCGGTGTAAAATGAGGCTCCTAAAGTTCTCTTTCTGGGGCGATCTCTTTCCCCTTCCCTGTCTGTCTGCCTGCAAAGCAAAAGCCAGCGCGCCAGTGCCCGAGTTGTGTGTACGCGCCCGTCTCCCAGTCTGTCTCTTGCTTGGCTCTGCCTTAGAAAGAAACCCGCACGTACAGGCGAGCACTTGCCTGGTTCTGTAAATCCGAGGCTTTTCCTTTCCCCCCAAACATTCTTCTTATCTCTATACTTACCTCGTAGATATCTTCATACTTGACATTTTCAACCAGTTTCCAGAGCATGATGGCGGGCTGCTCTCTAAGAGGTGAGTGCATTCATGTGAAGAGCAGATGTCTGGGTTCTCAGTACTTCTCTGTCTGTAATGATCCATCTATAATTGGAAATGGGGGACAGACACCAAATCCGACGTTCCTCTCCCATCGCAACTTATATCTGTTGTCTGAAACAATAGGCTGGAGAAGTAAACCTCAGCCGCATAGGAAAATCATTCCCATCTACGGAGTTTATATAGAACACATAGACAGATTGAACACACATATATTATGCATATAATCACTCACACACCCTCGATACACACACACACAGAGATGCAGACACAAAACCACACACACATTTCAGAAATACACTTGTACACACACATATATACAAACATTCACATTCAAGAGAGAGATACACATATATATACACACACAGAGATACAGAGATACTCTTTCTGTCGCACATAAAATTATCTGTGCATACATCGAGTAAACATTGAGCTTTTGACCACAATGAACACGTATCACAACATACTTTTATCAACAGATTAATTTGTTTCTCTTCTATCTGCTGCACATCTGCAAATAGAAAAGCTCCAGTGTACCACTGTATCTGCACATCAACGAAAGTAAGCATAAAAATGGGTGGGTTTTCTTTTTAGTACAATGAAAGGAAACATTAATCAACCTACCCGCAAAACTGTTAATTATTTGTAACGAGGAAGGAGTTCCCCAGTTGTGTGTGTAGAGATGTGCCAATCCTGATTCACTGATAAGTGCATGGTCTTGGGATGGTAGTGACTTTAGACAAGAAGGTTAAACTGGTATTCCACATTTCAAGCGTAAGTTTTTAATTCGGTCAACCTCTCTCCCGCATTCCCCAAATCTAAAGCAATCCAAATATTACCGACATCCCGATCTGGGCATAATTAACGGAGGGAGGCCAATTTAAAAGGTCCGGTCGGGAACAGTTTTTGTTTGGCTGGGTGTTATTTTTACACCTTTCAATTCTGTTAGCCTCGGCTTCCCCCTAAATGACTAGTTTGGTGCGTTGCGCATTTAGGGCAAGTTTGAGCTCAAGGAGGGAAGGCAGCGAGTCGCCTCGTTGCGTCCCACCCGCTCCCCGTCAAAGAAAACCGCTACACCTTGCCAAGGCTTCGGAGGTGGAGGAGGCCCTTGGCCGTCAGCCTTGCCCGATCTCTTTCAGAGAGCCCTGCCGTTTCCTAACAGCTCCATGTGACCTTGGCAGACAATGGCTATCTTAACGGATAGGCTTCTTCTTAGGTTTCTTTACTATCGGACAAGAAATCGATCGCTCGGATTTTAAAGAGTATGTGTGGAACAGATCACAGTTAGCAAACTCCGGAATTCCTTTGGCAGCGAATGGAAGTGCAAAATCAACTTTTGGTCTCCCCCGCACCGCTCAGCGCCCCGGCGCGGTCTCAGAGTGCCCCGTTCCGGCAGCACTGGAGGCAAGGGAACTGGGGGCACTGGCTTCTGGGGCAGCCGCGGACAGCAAGCAGCAGGAGGAAGGCAAGTTTGCCTTGCTCGGAAGTTACTGGAGCTGGTGAGAGCGGTGCGCAGCAAAGGTTGCCTTATATGCGTCGCAGCGCGGCGGGGGTGGGGGAGCGAGGGGGAAAGGCGCACGCGGAGGAGATGGAGGAGGAGGAGGAGGAGGAGGAGGAGGTGGAAAGCGCGACCGCGTCTTCACAGCCTCCGAGCAACGTGCTGGCCAAAGCGGGGCCAGCCTTGGAAAGGGGCTCCAAGCAGCGCGAAACGCGCCCTCGGCATCTGCGCGTGTCCATTGGCGCACGCGTGGGGGGGGGGGGCGCTGCCGCTCTCCTGCAGAAGCCCTTGCGTGGAGGGGAGTGAGGATACGGCGCACCGTTCCCCCGCAGCCCCCGCGGACGGCCAGCTCGATCCGACGCGGGGCCACGGGGTGCGGGTGCGCGGATGGGCCTCCGTGCACTGGGGGGAGCTGGCCCCGCCGCCCTCGGGCTGAGGTTCACGCGGCCTCCGAGCGAGGCCGGCCGTCGGTTTCCCGCAGGATGGAGCCGGCGCCTCGCCGCCTCCTCCGCGGCTCCGAGCGGCAGCTCTCGCCGGCGCTTCCCCGGCCTCGGCCTCCGCGATCGGGGCTGCTGGCCCGCGCGGTGCCTTCGGTCGGGCAGAGGGGGCAGGGCGCGGGCCCGCGCACAAGGCGAGCAGCCGCCTGATCGGTCGCCTCGCCGACAAAGGGTATCTCGGTCACCGCCCCGCTATCTCCTGGGAAGCACCCGAGCCCCCTCCCCGGCCCTGCACACCTCAGCCCCCGGTGATGCAACGCCGTCGCGCTGTCTCGCAACTCTCCTGCCCTGCAAAGGGTGGGGAAGAAGCCCGCTTCGCATTCAATTCAGTCGTAGGCTGAGCTCAGCCTTTTAAAATAAAAAGAACACGCCGTGCTTTTACCTACAACCAGACTGCGCAACTTGGTAGCATTGCTACCGGCTAAGTAAGATAAGTAGCCTAAAGTATTTTTATGTAAATCGCAAACAGTTCTGTAAGCACATAGGATAAGAGAATAGTAACTCCAGGTAATGTGTTACTACTACTACTGCCTCCACTATTATTATTTTCTCATAGCTGTTATGCATCAGTGCAATTATACGCATGTCTAGTCAGAAGGAAGACCCACGGATTCAATGGGGCTTTCTCCTAGGTATTGGATCGCAGCCTAATTCTGTGTTCAGGCATAGGATGCCAGAGCCCATAATTTGCCTGGAAGTCGCCTACTGAGCCTTAATTGGCTTGTGGACGGGTCTGAGCATTTTGCCCGATGTGGAAACCTGCACGGTGTTCATTTTCAAAACGATGGGATTTGTTTCCACTTATGAAATATTGATTCTGAAATGGTTCAGATTCGATCTCACGGAACAATAAAGGTTGATCTGTGAACATGATTTACGGCATACATGCCCAGGCCTGCGAGGTAGGACTTGGCGGTTAGGCCCACTGCCATGCCTGCTTCCGAGTATCGTTTGCAAGATTTGCAGCGTAAGGGAGTTTTTAGATCTTAGGAATCCTTTGCAGTGATTCGCCCCAGCGGTTTAAGGAGTCAAGACTGTTCAGCACTTTGGCAGAATCGCAGTCGAGGGAACGGCCTTCCCGCTACCGACGAGCTGGATCCTAAAGCCTTTATGAAGGGGAAACTTGAAAGTGAAGCGGCAAGAAAAAGTCGCATTCAGCAGAACAACAGCGCCCTCTGTAGGGGACGATCTTTTGCAGAAATCGCGGCGAACCGGCTCTTTGTCGGGTTCTAGAAAACCGCCTGAGCGATGAGAACAAGAAGTTCAGTGTATTTCACAAGCGGAAACGTACGGATAAGCACGAGGGCCGAGCCGCCTGCTGCATTCTTGGACAGACACTGCAAGGCAAGCATCAGTCGGTGTGATCGGCTAAGCCTTATCCAGCGCTCCGGGTTGGTGTGCTTGCGAGAGACAGCGCTTCAGCTGGGATTGCTCCGATAGGCAGAGCGAGCCTCGGCACCTGCCGTCCGGCCCCGCGGGCGCGCCGCCGGCGGGCCTCCCCCGGGCCCGTCGCCTCTGCGCCCGCCGCCGTCTTGCGACCTTGCTCGCCGCGCAGCCTTTGGCGGCGGCGGCAGCGAGCGCTTGGCCGCGCCGCCGCAGGCCGCGTCTCTCGAGCGGAGGACGGAGCGAGTCCACCTGATCTCTCGCGCCTCCTCGCCCAGTGAAGTGCCTGCAGATGCCGCCTTCGGTTTCTTCGGCAATTCGTTTTAGCTCCCTCTGCTGGGAGGCACAGACAATTTTACCGCCACGCTTTAAAACTCCGCGCCCCTCCCCTTTCATCTCGCTCAATGCGCGGCTGTGCCTGTGTCTGATGATTCCCTCCCACACTTTCCTCCCTTTTTATTCCATACCAAACCGACATTTTTCAAACTCTGTCTGTCTTTTATCAACGCATTTCATCCCAAATAAGCACGTTCCATTTTGCAGGCATGATTCCTTCTATTTCACAGCCACGGAAACTGCCAGCGTGGTGAGAACAGTCAATCCCCAGTGAGAAGTGCTGAGACGTCTCGGATATAGATGCTCCCACTTACAGATATAAGAAGAGCTCTGCTGGATCTGAACAGGGGCCCACCCTCTCCAGGCTTCGGCCCACACAATGGGCCACCCAGCTGCCCAAGCAGAATGTGAGTGCGACATTCCTGCCCAACGTTCTTGCCAAGTTCTCTTGCCCAGAACTGCCCAATCCCAGAAGCGGTGGCCGATGGGGCATGTCAGCGCACTCTGTCGTGCTGAGAAGCATTCTCATCGCACTGTGGCCAAGGAGGTTCCATATCCTCAGACCTGGCATTCAAACAAGGTTCTGGCAAAAGGCCTAGTTCACACAGAGAAAATAGGTTTACAAACCCGTCTTAGAAATGGATGCACCAAACAACCTTCTTTGTATGTTGTGTTTACTTTATGTCTGGCATTCTTGAACAGATGAGATTCACAGGTTCCATTCAGGTGGTCTGCAAAGGGCTGAAGAACAATTTGGAATAGCTGCGCTGGTCTTTGAAGTTGATTTATTTTTTCTGATGAAAGATATTGACCACACAGAACTTTGCTCCCCAAAGCAAATGAATTTCGATTGCATTAGAAAGAAAGATTACGGTTAGTGAAATATGAGTTATATATGTGTTTTCATTTGGAGAACAGAAACAAGTTTATTAAGTGGTCCTCCAAGACTTCCAGCAATTTGTCAGTGGTTCACAGGAAGGGAATTTTAGAACTCTTGAGGCTTATTGGACATGGGTGTGTGTCATATAAATACATACATATATATGCATACATCTGTCAAATATGAAGAAGGCATGACTGCTTTTTTGTCATATTTCATCTCCAAGCAAACATTTTAAAGAGCAATGAGGTGAAAAAGGTCTGAGCATCTTTCTTTCTAGGCAGGGCATGCCTCTTTCACATACGTGTGCCCAATTTTAAAAAGTCACGTGAGCATTAGCTTATGGAACCTGGTTCATAACCTCCTTTGTGCATGCATGAAGCTTGACCTAAGGG